TTGGTCTGGTCTATAGGGAGAGAGTATCAAACTGTGCTTTGGATGCTATATGCACTATTAAATCTCTGTGAGGCATAGAGCTGCTGAGGATCAGGTTGTCTTAAGTGTTTGCCTTGTCCTGAGTCAAGTTGTCCTTGGGGGTTGTTTTGATATGTGTAAAGAGGTTGTCCTGACTAGTTGTGTTACTGGGCCTTGAGCCACCCACAACGAGGAAGACACTGAATGTCACAAGGTAGTGACGAGTGTTCTGGTCATGAGGGTTAGCTGGACTTATCCTTTCGTCCATGCTCAGCAGGAGGCCCATGGTGAAGCAATTGGGTTATCAACCATCACCAGGAGGTTCTACATATACTGTAGATCCAAACTGCAGATACTTTCATTCACAGTATTGTATAACTGTAAGGTAGTTAGATGAGCGGTGTGTGAAACTGCATTCAGAGCCATGACATGTGGGTATGTTTTTTGGTAGGAGAGTATCAGAACTGTTGCAGCATTTTTTTTGTTTGTTTCCGGTAAGGGCCCTTTCAGATCTTCACATTACTGCATCATATCAGCAAGCAGCACCCAGGAACATGTTTGTGGTACCCTTCAATTTAAAAGATATCAAGTCACAGCATGCACTTTAATTTTTTGAAATCAGCATTGTAATAGCAATACAAATAATAATACTTTTTGACAATCTAAGGTTGTTTGGAAAACTTCCTTTCATGTTCCACAACTTCCCAGCGTCCTTGTATGCTTTTCAGTTTATCCTCTTCTCGTTCCTTTGGTTTACTTTCAAATTTGAAGGTACATACCACATGGTACCTTGCTGTCTGCAAACAATGATTCCTGTACAGATTCCACCTCCTAAATCTCCTCCTCTAGAGTTCAGATACCAGGCTCTGTGAAATGTGTGAAAAAGTAGCGCATATTCACATGGCATAGTGCAACTGCTTTATGATTTATGTTCAGTTCTTTCTATGTGGAGGTGCATTCTTCTCCCATTGAAAACCTGTTTCAAGACGCTGACCAAGCCAACACAGTGACTAATATCAGTGACCTTTCTCAATCAGCTGGGATTCAACCTTTTACAATAAATGGTTTGCCTTAATGCAGAACATCGTAATGCAGCAAATGATTTGAAGAAGCGCTAAGTTTATTTTTTTAGAACAGGCTTTTGGGAGATTCATTGACTTCTTCTGGTATACAGTACACAGCACTGTGAAAGTTAGGGAAAAGTAAAAAAAACAGGGAAACAAAATATTTAGCTGTGGAATTAAAAAGGGTAGAGTCGCATAGATGAGAATGATCATAGTGATTTAGAAAGCTAAGAATGACATTGAGTCCATTATCTTTTCTGTCAAATATAATAATGATTCTTAGTTCAAATGTTTTCCTTTTCTGATTAGTGTTGAATTTACAATTAGGAACCAAGGCAGTCATGTACTCTATTCAACAATGCAACATCCCTGTTTGAGATACACCACACTCTTGGGGGTGCAATGGTATAACCCTGTAATAGTGAGGACCCATGTACACCATTGCACTTTGGTAACGTGCATTAACACAACATGCAACAAAGCACTTTACATGTATTGACGCTTTATGGTGCCATTTATTTTAAATGACACCCCAGTGCATCCTGCTATCAAACTTTTCTAAGATGCATTGCGATGCACTGCCAGAGTTGATACATGCTCCTCTTTATGCATTTTTGTTGCATTAGGCAGCCACTTTATTTAAATATTGCATTGTAATGACAAATGAGCTGATTAATGCTGCACAATGCACCAAAAAGATGACCTAAATTCAGACCTGCAATATTTTTTGTATCACAAAGTACTGCAATGAACAGTGTGACAGTGTGTTGGGGTGCCATTCACAATGAAGAGCACTGTATCACATCAATGTATTGTATATTATGAGTTACAGTGTATTGCAGTAATGCACACAATACAGCAGTGCACTGGTGAATAAGCCCTAACACTTTAAAAAAAGTGCCACTTAACTACAGCAAAGAAAAAAACAGGTCTTCAGCCCTGCTAGACAGGGCATTGCTCTGTAATAGAGCTGTGAAAATCTCAGGACTGGATGGAAAGAAATACAAGGTAAAGTACAGGTAAGACATATTTCATATACAGGTGAAACTCGAAAAATTAGAATATCGTGCAAAAGTTCATTTATTTCAGTAATGCAACTTAAGAGGTGAAACTAATATATGAGATAGACTCATTACATGAAAAGCAAGATAGTTCAAGCCGTGATTTGTCATAATTGTGATGATTATGGCTTATAGCTCATGAAAACCCCAAATCCACAATCTCAGAAAATTAGAATATTACATGCAATCAATAAAACAAGGATTGTATATAGAACAATATCGGACCTCTGAAATGTATAAGCATGCATATGTACTCAGTACTTGGGTTGGGCCCCTTTTGCAGCAATTACTGCCTCAATGCGGTGTGGCATGGAAGCTATCAGCCTGTGGCACTGCTGAGGTGTTATGGAAGACCAGGATGCTTCACTAGCGGCCTTCAGCTCTTCTGCATTGTTTGGTCTCATGTCTCTTCTCTTTCTCTTGGCTATGCCCCATAGATTCTCTATGGGGTTCAGGTCAGGCGAGTTTGCAGGCCAATCAAGCACAGTAATCCCACGGTCATTAGCTGATTAGAGTGGGGCACTTTGAGCCTAGAATATTGCACCTTTTCACAATAATTTTCAAATTTTCTGAGATTGTGGATTTGGGGTTTTCATGAGCTGTAAGCCATAATCATCACAATTATGACAAATCACGGCTTGAACTATCTTGCTTTGCATGTAATGAGTCTATCTCATTTATTAGTTTCACCTTTTAAGTTGCATTACTGAAATAAATGAACTTTTGCATGATATTCTAATTTTTCGAGTTTCACCTGCATGTATTTTTAGCTGTGTATTTAGCTGTCAGGAGTTCAGCTTTAAAATGAAATGAAAGGTGAAATCTAGAGGGTGTTTATGGGTTTCTACACTTTGTACATAAGATCCCTTTAGAGCACAACATCATTCAAACATTGATGTTTGTGCATATTATTCTTTTTCATATTCCTTTGAATATTGTTTTAATTACCCTTATATTTTTACTTTCATACTGTATATGTAACAGAGCTTTTTAAATGGCATCCTTTGTTACACATTTTTTTGTCCCGTGCACTTTATAAATAACTTGTAACAGCAATATGTAAAGCCTAGTGATTTAAATATAGCTCTGCATATATATAGCACATGACATACAGTAGCATGACTAGGAAGTATCTGGGTAAGCACAGTTTGTTGGTTTCACATAAGTCCCTAATTTGTTTCCATTACACCTAATTGGTGATATATTATTTGCTTTACGTGCTCCAAGTGCACAATTCCCAGAGAAAGTACAACATATGAGATGTCTGGAGAATACATCTTAAAATACTGCATAATAAATAATCTCTTAGTTTAGTTAGATATTGCATGCTCAGAATTGTTCTAAACAAAACAACCCCCTTCCTTTAGATTGTAAGCTCCATGAGCAGGACCCTCATATTCCTACTGTACTGAAATGTATTATAATTGTACTGTTTCCCTTATATTGTAAAGCGCTGCGCAAACTATTTGCGCTATATAAATCCTGTATAACAATAATAATAATAATTTTAAAAAACACTATTAGTACTGAATTAAGCATCTCAAGTTAAATTACTGTTTATGAATGATTATAATATATACTGTATTACAGCGCTCAGCATAAATGAGTACACCTCTTTTGAAAAGTAAGATTTTAATCAATATCTCAATGAACACAAGAGCAATTTCCAAAATTTGGACAAAACTGAGTTTTATAGAACATTTGTTTAGCTCATTACATGAAAGTAAGGTTAGTAATATAACTTAGATTATAAAATCTTCAGTTTTACTCAAATTAGCTGATGCAAAAATGATTACACCCCGCAACAAAAACTACTACACCTAGTAATTTGTATGACCTCTGTGATTTTAAGGACAGCACCAAGTCTTTGTAGGCATGGAATGAACAAGTTGGCGTCATATTGCAACATTTATCTTTTTCCAATCATCGAAAACATTTGTGTGTGGGGGTTTTTTTTTTTTTTTTTTGGGGGGGGGGGTGTTGTTTTTTGTTTCCTTTTTTTGTTAGCTTTTTTTCCTGAGTATAGATCTATGCTTGTCCCAAGCATGTTTGAAGCTATTTACTGTTGACTGGCTCACTACCTCTGCTGGAAGTTTATTTCAAGCATCAACTACTCTTTCAGTAAAATAATACTTTCTGAGATTAGTTTTGAACTTTCCTCCAGTTAGTTTAGGGTCATGTCCCCTTGTTCTTGATTTTGGTTTCGTGTTGAAAATACTGCCCTCCTGAACCTTATTCACCCCCTTGATGTATTTAAAGGTTTCAGTCATGTCTCCCCTTTCCCTTCTTTCCTCCAGACTGTACATGTTAAGTTCCTGAAGTCGCTCTTGATATGTTTCATCCCCCAGACCTTTCACCATTTATGTTACCTGTCTTTGGACTCGTTCTATTTTATCAATGTCTTTTTGTAAGTGAGATCTCCAGAACTGCACACAGTATTCTAAATGAGGTCTAACTAAAGATCTGTATAAGGTAATCAGGATCTCCTTCCTCCTGATGGTGACCCCTCTAGTGATGCATGCTAGAATTCTATTTACTTTCCCTACTGCCTGGCCACACTGTTTGCTCACTTTGCAATCATCTAAAATAAGTACCCCCAAGTCCTTTTCCTCTGAAGTGTTGGCCAACACTGTACTCCAATGTTGTACTCTCTCAAGGGATTTTTCTTCCCTAGGTGCATTATTTTACATTTAGAATTTCCACTTTTTTGACCAATTTTCCATCATTCCATTCTTCAAAAACAACCTCTTTTAGAGCTTGGATGCTGGATGGGGAGTGTTGCTCAACTTGTCTCTTCGGAATTTCCCATAGGTGTTTGATTGGGTACAGATCAGGAGACATCTCACTCTCTTCTTCTTCAGAAATGCCTACAGTGGCCTTAGATGTGTGTTTTGGATCATTGTCATGTTGGAAAAGTGCACGACGACGAAGGGCACAGAGTGATAGCAGCATCTTCTCTTTCAATATAGAGCAGTACATCTGTGTAAATTCATGATCATCAATGAAATGCAGTTCCCCGGCACCAGCAGCACTCATGCAGCCCCACAGAAGGACACCACCATGTTTCACTGTAGGCACCATGCATTTTTCTTTGTACACCTCAATTTTGCGATGCCATACAGTTTTGAGGCCATCAGTTCCAAAAACATTTATCTTGGTCTAATCACTCCAGATTACAGAGTCCCAGTAGTCTTCTTCTTTTTCAGCATGGGCCCCTGGCAAATTCTAGGCAGGCTTTTTTTGTGCATGGGCTTTAGGAGAGGCTTCCTTCGTGGATGACACTCATGAATGCCATTCCCCTGCAGTGTATGTTGTATTGTCTCTGTGAGATGGTTTCAGTTCCATCTTTGTTACATTTTTGTATCACTTTTGCTACAGCATTCTGAATGGTAAATAAACCTTTGCTGATCTTCTTGCAGCCTTCACCTTTCTTGAGTAAAGAAATTATTGTGAAATTCCTCTTCCATGTGTTGCCATTGCTGACAGCATGAAATGGGACGGAGTTTTCTTTGCAGACCCTGCATTCACTATATCTGGTCTCCCACAGTTCACAGAACATGGAAATGCAATTATGTTAGTAAATATAAACTGTGACTTCTATCAGTGTCCAGCCGAGCATATGTTAAAACTTGTAGGAGTATTCATTATGCTCCAGGAGGATGCAGTACCCCTGACCTCTGTCTGGACAGTGCTTATTGGCCCTGTGCTGATCACATGCACTCTACAGAAAAAAAAAACCTCACTGCAATACACACCAAACTGAGCATGTGCAGCGTGACTCCACCCAATATCTCTTATCAGGAGATAAGAAAGGGACACTGGAAGAAGGGGAGGATCAGAGAAATCAGGATCAAACAATGTTTTTACACCATGCAGAGGATTAAGGTTCCACAGTGAGTATAACAAGCATGCTTTACTACATATACAAACTGATTTTTCCATTGTGGGTTTAGTAACACTTTAAGTAATGCTCTTTTATAATCAACTGCCTGCTGAACACCTGTTTAATGAATAATTAGACTTGCATGTAGTTGAAATCTTGTTAATTAGGATTTTGTTGTCAAAAATGTAGGTTTGCTTCTAAAACTTTCATTGGGGTGTATTCATTTTTGCAACATGACCTTGAATGAATTTATTAGGAAAAATACTTTCTTGTGTGTCCAAATTAACATATCTTGTTTGAAATCAATGGCCTGCATTTGCTGGAGTATTTTGTAATATAGTGTTTTATAGAGAATGTTGATTCTGAAAAGGAAAGAAAAGGTTTTCTGACAAATCTCTTGGGGTGTGAGTGCTCATTTATGCTGAGCACTAGAGATATATATATATATATACTATATTGCCAAAAGTATTGGGATGCCTGCCTTTAAACACACATGAACTTTAATGGCATTCCAGTCTTATGCAGGCCATAGACGGGGAGAAAACCGGCCGAAAATTCATCCAAAACAATAATCGGCCAATTTTAGGATCGTTACTGGCTGAATTGGTCGGCCGGTTTTCTTGATTTTGACACATTTTTTTAATTGTTCATGTTGGGAAAAAAAACGACCGATTTTGCCCATCGGCCGATTTTTCACGGCAATGATGGGCAAATCGGACGATCTTTTTCCCGATTAAAAAAAATGCACATGAGCCGTGACCAAAGAAAAAGAAGAACATATGTATCTATTTGTATCCATACAAATAGATACAATGTTTGCAACTGCAATACTTGGAAATGTCAAATCTGTTAGCGGTGTCCCTGCAGAGAGCTCCGCTATGATATATGACATTTAAAAGTCTAAGGGTTGCAACATTGTATCTATTTGTATCCGAATAGAAACATCTGTATCTGAAATGGATACAAATAGATACAATGTTGCAACTTTTTCTTCTTATTATTCATATTCTATTTCTTCTTCTTTTAAATGTCAAATATAGCGGAGCTCTCTGCAGGGACACCGCTATTATATTAATTGCCGGCTGTAGATGGAATGAAAATCAGCCAACTTTTTTTTTACCAATGGTGGTAACGTTGGCTGATTGAACAACCAATTTGTTGTTTTTCTAAAAAAAAAAAACGTCCAGTTTTCACCCCATCTATGGCCTGCATTAGTCCATAGGGTTCAATATTGGGTCGACCCACCTTTTGCAGCTATAACAGCTTCAACTCTTCTTGGAATGCTGCCCACAAGGTTTAGGAGTGTGTATATGGGAATGTTTAATCATTCTTCCAGAAGCGCATTTGTGAGGTCAGGCATTGATGTCGGACAAGAAAGTCTCTGCTCTAATTCATCCCAAAGGTGTTTTATCAGGTTGAGGTCAGGACTTTCTACAGGACAGTCAAATTCCTCCACCCCAAACTCGCTCATCCATGTTTTTATGGACCTTGCTTTGATCACTGGTGCACAGTCATGTTGGAACAGGAAGGGGCCATCACCAAACTGTTCCCACAAAGTTGGAAGCATGAAATTGTCCAAAATGTCCCAGCACACTGATGCCCTTAGAGTTCCCTTTACTGGAACTAAGGGGCAAATCCCAACCCATGAAAAACAACCCCATACCATAATCCCCCCTCGCCAAACTTTACACTTGGCACAATACAGTCAGGCAAGTACCACCAAAACCAGACACATCCATCGGATTGCCAGACAGAGAAGGGTGATTGGTCACTGCAGAGAGCATGTCTCCACTGCTCTAGAGTCCAGTGGTGGCGTGCTTTACACCACTGCATCCGATGGTTTTCATTACATTTGGTGATGTAAGGTTTGGATGCAGCTGCTCGGCCATGGAAACCCATTCCATGAAGCTCTCTCTAAGCACTGTTGTTGTGCTAATCTGAAGGCCACACAAAATTTGACTTCTGCACTCTGTGTGTTCCAGCATGCACTGACCCCACTCTTTCATTTTACGTGGCCTATCACTTCGTGACTTAATTGCTGTTGTTCCCAGTTGCATTTTGTTATAGTACCACTAACCGTTGACCGTGGAATATTTAGTACCAATGAAATTTCATGGATGGATTATTGCACAGGTGGTAACCTATCACGGTACCACGCTTAAATTCACTGAACTCTTGAGAGCGACCCATTCTTTCACAAATTATTGTAGATGCAGGTAGATGTAGATGCCTAGGTGCTTGATTTTATACACCTGTGGCCATGAAGGGGATTGGAACACCGAAATCCAATGATTTGGAGGGGTTTCCCAATACTTTTGGCAATACAGTGTGTATATCTTTGTTTTTTGTCAGACGAAAAACGCATCTGCAAAGAAATCACATGGTCTTCTTGACCATGGAGCTTCCATGCCTTTCCCGCATCCAAGATCGCGCCTCAATCGCACTGCAGAGTGAGATTCATTCTGAATGGCACCTTCCCATGTCTCACAGGAGAAACACGATGCAGCTGCGGGTGTGGGAATCGGATTGTGGGATTGATTCCCACACCTGCAACAAGCCCGCAGAGTGCAAACTAGCATGAAGCTAACCTTAGAAGCTGATTGGTTACTATGCACAGCTGCACCAGATTCTGTGAGCTCCAGTTTTAGTAAATACCTCTCTATTATGTCTTTGTTTTGCAACCTCCCTCCCATGTCCCAGTATTTGGTAGCAAGAATTGATGAGCACTTAGAGAGGACATCCGTAGGGCCAGGGTGCAATTATATGCATTTTTTCTGGCTCAGAATACATTGGGTAGAGTTCCCTCTCCCCTCCAACATGCATACCAGTACCAGACCCTTTGGGGGAGATTTACTATAACTGTTGCACTCAGAATCTAGTGCAGCTGTACATGGTAGGCATTGTCAAATACGCTTTGGCAATAAAACCTGGAAGCTGATCGGTTTCTATTCAGAGCTACCCCAGATTTTGAACTTTTCGATTTTAGTAAATCTCCCGTTTTAGGTCTGGTGTGAATGTAAAGAGGTGCCTCACACAAAAAACACATTTCTGTCTACTTAGGGATGAAGTACATGTCGTATTTTGTGTAATATTTCTAAGTGCTTTCTAACCCTAGTTATGCCTTGCCTGCCATGGCTGATCCAACAATAGATTTGGAGGAAACGGTTAATTCATACCTGCAGCTTGTCCTGGCTGTGAAGACTTTCCTGAAACAAGGCATGGTAAGAGGAAAGCGGAGCCTGAATCCCACCCACCACTACCACATTCCTCTTGCAGTTGCTTGTCTCAGGAAATTCTACATAGTAGTACTACATGTACTTTGTCCCATGGGGGACAGAACTGTTAAATAAAAATTATAATGATATGTTTTCTTTAAGAAGGGTATCATTGTCCTGTCATCAAGCACTAGTACTACTGACACTTAGAAATCAAGAGTGTCACAAGCTCCAAACTTTACTGCAGGGGAGAAGAGTAAAGATGAGCACAATCTTGTGGAACCACCATGAAAGAGAACCTGTTGCTTTGTCATGCATTTAGCATAACTCATGTTCACTTCAAGCATAGCAGAATGACCCATCACATGTGACTGCTGCTCTGCCTTTACATTCCAGGAAATTCTATGCTGAGTTAAATATTAGATAAGTGCCACCGCCTAAATGTTGCCTCCAGATTTTTAGGATGAGCAAATGATTTCTGCTGAAACCATGCAGCAGATGCCTACAAATCAGAACCTTTTTGAGACTTATTGAAGTGATGTTGTAAATGCTATTTTACTAAATATATTGTATTTTCACTCAATTGTCTATCCGCATCACTATATCACAGTGCTTGTTACAATGCTGTAATGTTTTATTATACACAACAGACACAGTACAATAGTTTATAAAGCAACCCCGATTCCAAAAAAGTCAGGACGCTGTGTAAAATCTACATAAAAACAGAATGCAATGATTTCCAAATCTCATAAATCCATATATTATTCACAATAGAAAATAGAAAACATATCAAAGGTTTAAACTGAGAAAAGTTACCATTTTAGGAAAAAATAAGGTGATTCTGAAATTGATGACAGCAACATGTCTCAAAAAAGTTGGGACAAGGCAGCAAAGAGCCGTTTGACAATTTTTAAACACAGCTTTTTACAGAATGGGGAACCTCTGCCCATCTTTACTTCTGAGACACTCTGACCCTCTAAGATGCCCTGTTTATACCCAATCATGTTACTGACCTATTGCCAATTAGCATCATTAGTTGCAAAATGTTCTTCCAGCTCTTCCTTGTTAGTACCAATTACTTTGCCAGCTTTTTGTTGCCCTTTCCCAACTTTTTT